TTTGTCAAGATGAACTCGAAACAATAGTTACCTTTTTACATTTCTCCCGAACCACTACCCCCTTCCCCCCTCCAACTTACGTAAGTAAACACGTAAACCATTCGAAATATCACTTTCGTTTTTTCTCACCGGACACTTGCGAAACTTCGTTGGTCGAGTTCCGCAACTCTAAAACTTAAAATATAACACTCTGTTTGACAATCTGACATTTTGATCACTTGTAAGAGAGTAAGAAAGTCTCGAAGTGGCGCAGACACCGTTCGGGCATGCTGGGAGCAGGGGTGGCCCTCACTCAGGTTAGCCAACGTAACAACAAAAAGCCGCTGTTTTTCAAATTGAAAAGTTAAATATTTAAACTCAAACCGTTACGAACGAAAAGCTCCCACTTGTTTTTCCTTGAATTATAGATGTTTAGTCAAAGTCACCTTCCGTCCATGGACAAGCCGTTTTCCAGAAAAAGTGGAACGTAAACACAGACAGACAGACAGACAGACAGACTCACGACGGAGACATCGCCTGACCCCTCATTGACTTGGACTGAGCTTCGCTCAGCGACAATTTTCCCGGGGGACTGGGAGTTAGAAAAGTTGAAGCGGTGACGGACGAACGACTGGACTGACGCAGTGATGTGAAAGGGGGGGATTTGGGATTGAAAAAGAGGGGGGGGGGTAGCTTCCGGGCGCATGGTGCAGCAAATGGCTGATGTTCCCACCGGCTTTGCCGTGCACTGCTGTAAGACCGCGCAAAGGGGGGAAAAGGGAAAGGGCGAGGGGGGGGGGCAATGCGCACGGGATTATGCATTATTATTCGTAATTAGATCAGTTAGAGACAGCCTAATTGTGCGGAAGGCTCTGCTGTGTGTATGGGGCTCGAGGGAGAGGAGGGGGTGGTGCGTCTGCTGCACGGACTGCTGCACGCCCCGCCCGCCCCGCCCCGCCCCGCCCAACCCTGGTCTCAGCCCGAATAATTAACTGCAGTTCAACTGTTTCTTCATTGGGACTGGAAGGGCGGGGGCTGCGCTGCCGTGGCCGCAGCAGCGCTTGGCAGCGCCACCGCGAGCCGTTCGTTGAATATGCCTTATTTTCAGAGCAGAGAGCGCTCAGAGTAACGCGGTCGGCTCTGCCCGGAAATGCGACGTGTGTATCTGATTAGTTGTCGTCGTGGTCGGCTGGTCAGGTGACGAGGCGGCGACAGGCCGCGCTGCACGTGACGGTGCGGACGAGGGGGTCGAAGGGAACGAGTAAATTATTGTAAATGTTGAACCTGGGGTTCTCACCGGTCAGGGAAGGCAGAGAAAGGTCGGGGTAAAAGTGTGACTGGAAGTCAGGGAAAAGTCATTGAACTTTAATTTGGGTCAGGGAAATAATTCAAGTGTTGCAAATGCAACCAGCAATGACCCCATCTTTGCGCTCCAGTTATTCGGATGGAGTCAGGGAAAACCGCGATGTTGGTTTTGTTTGGAAGCAGCCAGAGCAAAATAGAAATGGGTATATGGTACATAACTGCGGCTGCAATAGTTGCTTGTAATTTATTTGTTTTATTTTCAGAAACAAATTATTTCGTATATTTTTAGACAGTCCCTTGTGGTCTGTCTCTACCCGAAGGTAAAAGTTTCCCGTTTTGATAAATATTGCCGGTTATCGTTATCCAGTTTTGATAAAGATTGCCGATTGACGTTCCAGTTCCAGTTTTGATAAGCCGATTGACGTTGATATAGATTTCTCTTGCTATAATATTAGGCTGTGGGGGAAGGCTTTCCGTCCCGGCCGTCCGTGCCAAGCCCGGTGGCAGTCCCCTGTCATCGCTCTGGTTGTGTTATAAACATAGCGCCCTTATCCCTTGCTTCGCGCCAGGCCATGGTGGGCCACCCGACCCCCACTTGAGTCTCGCAGCGCTGCTCCTCGCGCGCCCCGCGCCCCAACCCCTGCCCTCAGCTCATTCGGCACCGCGCGCCAATGGCCCGTCCACTTGAGAAGTGGTCTCCAGTCTGATCAAATTTTAAATTTGAACCAGAACGCTCTGAAATATGAACGTGCTTGTTTTCGCGCACGCAGAAATTACGAATTCAGCAAAATTTGAATGGTGATTCTAGCATAATTTGCTGATTTTCGTTGTTTTTGATTTTAACCACAGCTTTCTGAAACATGATAAAGCGCTCCTGGGTAAGGTGAAAGTATCCCGTCTTGATAAAGGTTGCCGTTGCCGATATTGCCGAAGAACGTTTCAGTTTTGATAAGCAGATTTTCAGTCTTATTTTGATGCCTTATTGAATTTAAAGGTACAAGCCTTAGCGTCTGTATTTTGAATTTGCTTTTGGAGCTGGACTGTCTCGTTACCGGCCGGCAGGCCAGTTGTTTTTTTTCAGGAGAGCGAGTGTATACAGTCGTGTCCAGAGGTAGTGTCCCAATTTTCTTCGAGCGACTGACGAAGCAACGGCGCACTGGTGCAGGGTGGGACCGCGGTGCTGAAATAATTCAGCGCACAAATAATCAGGTAATTTTTATAGATTTCTAAATTATTGAATTCACAGGCACAGTTCCAAACTGAACCGTCCCTTTTACTTGTGTACATTTACTACTTCTTGCTCAGTCTGCGGATGTTTTCTCGTCGGCTGGACCAGAGGTTGGGTTGGGGCGTTGTGTCGCGTACATTCCATTCGAAATTACAGGGTGATATGCCCGGCTCCCATTCTATCCACCC